TATCTGCCTAGGTTAATAGAGTATCCTTGATTGAAGGTAGGGAGTTGGTGACTTTAGTCGAGGAGCCAACTCACTATTCGGTACCGGATTTACTCCGGTAGTGGAGTTTTTGTTCTTAGGGCCTCAATCTGTCGACTCCGGTGGAGGTTAGTCGCCCGCTAGAGAGTCAGATTGAGAGGGTCTGAAGACCTTTAGTCGAGACTTCAGGCTGTTTAAGAACCTTCCGCAGTATAACTATCATAGAAACTGATATTGGTAATTACAATCCGGCTTAACTGCAGTCTAGGGGGAACCATATCCGGGTGACCTCTTTAACCTGAATACAACAGTTTACTTGCTTTGTTAGTTTGTTAGTTAGACTTGCATTCCAGTTTCATTGCTAGATAACAAGAATTCACTGAGTAGTCATCACATCTAGGACCCGGGTTGATAATTAAACCTAAACCCGCTATACTACGCTTTAGGAAGTGGTTACACTTGGCCAATTCCTGGAGTGACAGTAGAGTCGAGTCAAGTTTTTGGCGCCGTTGCCGGGGACGGCTAGGTTGTTGAAGAAAAGTGATTTCTGTTAATTTAGCTTTTCTTTTTGCTTTGTTTGCTTTGTCCCACTTGTGCCTTCACGGGTGTGCTTGCTTGAGTGTGTGCAGGTAGTGCATGACCCGTAGCCAGTAGGGAGGTTTACTGCCGTTGAATCCAGAGATTGACCGCATCTGTCGCCAGCTCAGGAGACAACAGCGAGCTAGACTGGCTACGGAAGAGCGCATAGACGGCCACGTGAGCAGTGATTCTGAAGAAGAGCACGGGATGGACGGAGAGTACAATCAACACCAGGGGAATCCTCAGCAGGCTCCCCCGGTGAATCAGGTCCTGGGGAACAACCCCATACCCCAGGATCATGGAGTTCATCATCCACCGCAGCCGGGTCCCACCTTGGAGTACTACTACACTCCGCGGATTGCTGACATCCGCCCGGTCATCCTCTACCCGCCTATCCCAGCAAACAATTTCGAGATCAAGCCATGCTGGATTCAGCTCATCACATCCTCTATCCAGTTCCATGGCTTGAAGGATGAGGAGGCCAGGGTACATCTGTCCAGTTTTCTGCAGTTGACAAACGGGTTCAAGCTGAATGGTGTCCCCGATGATGCGATCCGCCTTCATCTCTTCCCCCATTCTCTGGCGGGGAATGCTAAGAGGTGGTTGGAGACCCAGCCCCCATTGTCCATCACCTCTTGGGACGATCTGGCGGACAAGTTCGTGCACAGGTATTATCCGGCATCGAAGACTACAGAGATTCAGCGGGAGATCACTCACTTCCGCCAGGAGCCAGATGAGTCACTTCGTGATGCATGGGAGCGGGACATGGGCTATTTCTGGCAGTGCCCCCATCATGGCTTCAGCGATGCATTCACAGTGGGGAACTTCTACAGTGCCCTCTCTCCAGATAGCCAGAGGGTGATTGAGTCTCTATGCCCAGGAGGGGATATTCTCACTAAGACTCCACCCGAGCTGAACCAGATGATTAACACATTGGCTGCCAGAGATCATTCCTGGGGGCAGAGCAGCAGAGGCAGACATTCTAGGGACCGTGGTGTGCACGCCATGGAGACCAGATCCGGGCTCGAGCAGCAGGTAGCTGAGCTAGTGCAGACATTGAAGCAGCCCAACAGTCTGATTCCGGGCAGAGGTTTGGCTACACCTCCAGTTGCTTAGTGTCAGTGGTGTGAGAGCTCCAATCACCTAGTGGAGGACTGCCAGGCTATGAGGGAGTCTACCACACCCCAGGAGCAATTAGCCTTCATCGCCAATGCGAGGCGCCTCGATCCATACAGTAGCACATATAATGAGGGGTGGCGCCAGCATCCCAACTTCGCCTGGAGCAGCAACACCACTAAACCACCTGGTTTCCCAGCACCAGCAGGTGGTTTTCAGCAGAGGCTGCCCTTCCAGGCTCGACAGGGGCCAGACCCATAGCATCCCTACCAGCCCAGGCAGGGGCAGCCATTCCAACAGCCCCAGCGCCAGTCTGCCGAGCCAGCAGCAGCTCCAGCCCCAGATGACAGGATGACGAAGCTGGAAAACATTCTAGCTTCATTCATGACGAGCACTCAGGCGACCATCACGAGGTTGGACCAGAGTGTAGCCTCACTGGAGGCAGGTCAGAGGAACCAGGGTGCCATTTTGCAGGATTTGCAGACCCAGGTGGGCATCTTGGCCCGCCAGAACACCACCAGGGCACCGGGGACTTTGCCTGCCACCACTGTCCCGAATCCTCGAGATCCTCATCAGCATCAGCAGCTGGATGCCATTTTTACCAGGAGCGGTAAGGTCATATCTGCTGATCCTGTCCCGGCCAGACAGGAGGAACCACTACCTGCTTCAGCACTTCCAGCCGACGATGCAAAAGTGCGGGTGGAGAAGGAAGCCCCTACTCCCAAGCCACAACCAGTGGTTAAGGAGCATGTACCCCAGCTTCCCTTCCCCACTCGCCTACACAAGGACAAGCTGGAGACTGAGTTTGCCAAGTTCATGGCAATGTTGAAGCAGCTCAACATCAGCATACCGTTCATGGAGGCACTGTCGAAGATGCCCAAGTATGCCAAGTTCATGAAAGATATCTGCACCAACAAGAAGAAAATTGGGGATCTCTCGACAGTGATGCTGAGCGAGGAGTGTTCTGCTATCCTGCAGAACAAGCTGCCCTAGAAGCGCAAGGATCCAGGGAGTTTTACTATCCCTCTTACTATTGGCAGCATGCATGTAGGCAAGTCCTTGGCGGACCTAGGCGCTAGCATTAACGTCATGCCATATAAGTTGTATAAAATGCTAGACCTAGGCGAACTTAGCCCTACTAGGATGAGCATTCAATTAGCTGATCGTTCTATCGTGCATCCTAAGGGTATCATTGAGGATCTGCTTGTTAAAGTAGGTACATTCACATATCCTGTTGATTTTGTTATTCTTGATGTGCATGAGGATGTGGATGTGCCTTTGATTCTAGGTAGGCCATTTCTTGCCACCGCCAAGGCACTTATTGATGTGCATGATGGTAAACTGATCTTGCGTGCTGGGAATGAACAGGCTACTTTTTTTGTGACTGAGTTTGATCACTGTGCTATGATTGCTGTCACGCCTGTGCATGCTATGTCTGATCAGGTACACGAGCCTGTCGTGTACCCTTCTGCACCTCCTATTTTGCAGGACCCTCCTATCATTCCTTCGCCGCCACTCCATCCAGCCTCGCCTCCGAACAAAAAGCTCAAGGAGGAGTGGCGGCCGAAGCAGCAGGTTGCTAAGCCTGCACGGAAGAAGAGTGGAGACCACTATGAGCTGGTCCCACCTCCTGCACCACGACCACCCTGGCCGTCTGGGTACTCACTCGCCTGCATCTTGCCAGACGGGCAGGTCGAGCTAACTGATGAGGGTGGTCGCATCCGTCGGGTGCATGGCCATAACCTGAAGCTGTACCTCAAGAGCGACGTGGATCCGCTCTTGGAGGCACCTGTTCCTGCACCGCCCTGAGTATCCACCATGGGCGTCCAGCTAATACGACGGTAAAGAAGCGCTTGTGGGGAGGCAACCCCACCACGGTTTGATTTTCTTTCTTGTGTTTTGAGTCGGATTGTAACCCGGTTTGGGTTTGGTTTGTTTTCTTTTGGTTTGGATGATATTTTATTGGGCTGACCATTGAACCTAACATATTGTGTTTGAGCTCTTCTGTTTCCCTTTGGCTGTGCTTGCCCCGACTGGCCCGTTTCCAGTTCCCTGCAGTCCGTGCATACCGGTAACATCTTTCCCTACCCCTTCCCTCTTCTCCATTGAGGGCAATGTCGATCTTAAGTGTGGGGGGGTGTTTATCTTTTGACTGCATTAGATCTGTTTGTGTGCTTGGAGCCTAGTCCACCACTGTCCAAATTTTTAAATTTGAGGGCTCCAAGTACGTGTTTCCTTGCAATTGCCTGCTCAGTATGCTTTGAATTGACAGTCTTTATAGTGATATGCAACCTAGGGAGGTAGTGTAGCACTATGGAGGATGTTGATGCATTTAAGGAGTCTCATTTCTTCTTCATATTGAGTTGGTTGATTGAGTGAATTAGTGATCTTAGGACCCTTGAATTGTGTGGTGTTGTGGATTCTCTGCCAGTCATGGACTCTTGTATCATGTTTTGAGTTTAACAGGTGCTCGAAAATGTGCTTGAAAATAAACGTCTCCCGTGCGAATAGGGCGAAAGTGTGTAAGGGGAGACGGGAATTCGTTCCCAATTTCCATCTACTACCTCCAGCCCCCTGGGTTTTCAGTCCGCGTTGATAAACCTGTTGTTAATGGTTTGATGCCCATGAAGACCAAGTTGTTTCTTTCTCCCTGGAAGACGTCCAGTCAGTGCGGTTTCGATCTTCCCGCACTCTGCTGGGTAGAGTGTTCACCGAAGCTGCCATTACACTCCCGGAGCTGAGCGAGGCTGTGAACTCGCACTGGCAAGGGAGAGGACAAATAAGAGTTGCTCGAGCAAAACATGGTCTGTACGAATTCGTCCTGCCCAACGCGGAAACAAAAATCTGGGTGCTAAAGCGGACCCCATGGGTGGTGCGCGACAACCTCATCAATTTGCGGTCCTGGACCCCATCAGTCTCTAAAACGACGTTTCGATGAACTGGCATCCGCACCATTTTGCATTCAGATATGGGGAATCAAGGAAGATTGTTGCACTAAACAATTCGGGCAAAAATTGATATCCCCTACCATTGGCCAGGTTTTGGAGGCGGGGTTGTTTGCAAGCAAAGAGACCTCGGAGATGTTTGTGAAGGTCCGTGCCATGATTGATTTTGCGAAGCCATTGCGATCTCAATTATTCGCGGCAAATGAGGAGCTTGGAGGTTTCTGGGTATCGCTAAAATATGAATTTCTGCCTAGTTTCTGCTTCCATTGCGGGAGAGTGGGACATATGCAACGTGAATGTGTGTTTGATCCCCCGAACAGAAATGAAAAGTTTGGGCCGCATATGATTGCGAAGAAACCTGGGCGGCAGATTTATGAAGAAGAGGAACCATCTCATGCCTTTGATGGAGCCCCGAAATCAGTGTGGATCAATAAGGCGGTGCGCGAGGTTTCGGGGGAGCATAGAGTGGGAGCTGGTAATGCTCCCAGCCAGCGGGAGATCAAGATGGACCAGGAACGGCCGAAATTTGACAGGCGGATGGAGCGGGAGCAGGGTGGGAAAGCTGCTCACCTACCTGCTGCCAATAATAAAAGTTCCATGCGAAATAGCCCCCGTGGCTTTTCCGTTGCGAAGTCGCCGAGAATGCGAGCTGGGAAGGGTAATAGGCAGGAGCTGCAGCCTAAATCGACCCGACAGGGGAATGGGGATATGGGCCGAACTCGTGCGGCTGAGACCCTCACTGGAAAGCAGACCCGACCGGGGTTGAGGAAGGCTGAGTGAGAACGATGTAATTGCACATATTTGCGCCCCTAGTTCTTATCCGTTTGAGGGGCATAGTCGTGTGTTTTGGCCTATTTTACGCCGGGTTGTGTTATTTTGTCATGTTTCAGGTCCCAGGCGTTAAAGGGAAGGCTAACCGCGAGTTTCGGGGCATTTGGAAGTCATTTCGGTGAGCTGGAGCCAAAACACGGGCAGCCCAAGGAATTACACGGCCGTGTACTGCTGGCCGTGCTTTTTATGCCGAGAGCAAATTCAGTTTGGCCAATTCAGCTGCAAACACGGGCACCGAAGCACGGCCGTGTTCAGTCAAAGCACGGCCGTGTACATTGCGAAGCACGGCCGTGTTTAACCCACTTGCTGGCCGTGTAATTAAGCCCTGGCCGAGGCACGGGCGGAGTCAGGCAAAGCACGGCCGTGCCCTCGACCGTGCTTTGGCCACTGATGCTTTTAAGCAGAGTTTCAGCCACAATTCAAGGGGATTCGAGTTTTTGAGAGAGAGATCAGTTCCTAGAGAGAGAAAGTGACGAGCAAGAGTTCCCAAGTGCCCTAGATTGATCTTCAACACCATTGGAGGCCAGTTTGAGCTTGGAGAAGTGCCGATCAACGTCCAGGAGCCAGAATCCGTCCTTCGCAGTATGAATTCCGTGTCTGTTTCTGCTTTTGCTTTCTTCTCCATGGAGTAGTTCTCCCATTCATCTGGGTATGGAGAACCCTAGATTTGTATGTTAGGCTTTGATTGTATGAACCCAAGTACTGATTCTATGATTGATTATATTCGATTGAGGTTTTAATGATTGAATGACTTGAATCCTGATCAAATTCCTGTTGTTTCTGCTTTAACCTAGAATGAGAATATCTGCCTAGGTTAATAGAGTATCCTTGATTGAAGGTAGGGAGTTGGTGACTTTAGTCGAGGAGCCAACTCACTATTCGGTACCGGATTTACTCCGGTAGTGGAGGTTTTGTTCTTAGGGCCTCAATCTGTCGACTCCGGTGGAGGTTAGTCGCCCGCTAGAGAGTCAGATTGAGAGGGTCTGAAGACCTTTAGTCGAGACTTCAGGCTGTTTAAGAACCTTCCGCAGTATAACTATCATAGAAACTGAACTTGGTAATTACAATCCGGCTTAACTGCAGTCTAGGGGGAACCATATCCGGGTGACCTCTTTAACCTGAATACAACAGTTTACTTGCTTTGTTAGTTTGTTAGTTAGACTTGCATTCCAGTTTCATTGCTAGATAACAAGAATTCACTGAGTAGTCATCACATCTAGGACCCGGGTTGATAATTAAACCTAAACCCGCTATACTACGCTTTAGGAAGTGGTTACACTTGGCCAATTCCTGGAGTGACAGTAGAGTCGAGTCACTGAGGCTCACTCTCAAAAGGTGATGGAGGGGGTGGCGGAAACTAGGAGGAGAAGATTGATCAAAAAGGAGAACTCTGATGATGATTTTGTTTTGAACAATGAGGTTGGGGAGGAAACGAGGGATGCTGGTTTGGGTGGAAATAATGTGAAAGGGGGTCTCCCCATGCAGGCACGTCCTACCATGGTGGTGGAGGAAGAGTGGGCTGTGTCGGATGCCATGCTGGCTGGGAAGGTGGCGGGTGGGGATCAACTGAATGAGGTGAAATCTGTGAAACCTAGGATGCGCCTTTTTAAAAAGAAAAGCATGGAGGAGAAGCAGGTGGAGGCAGGACAAGTGGGCGGCGTGGCCCCTGCTCCCCATGACATGCAAGTGGCCGCTGATCTCATGTATGATGGGATGAAGGGTGCGGCGGTTGTAAAGGAAAATGGAGGGCTGAAGGAAGCAGCTTCGCTGAGCCCTCTCTCGGACGATGATGCTGGTAATTTCGAGATTAAACGCCGCGATCCTGTGAATGGCGGGCCTCGATGTGTGGGGGTAATGAAGGGACGGGTCCGGCAAGTGGCTGATATTTTTGAAACAAGGCTTAATGGTACGGCGGAGAACGTACCCCCAACTGGTGTGAATTTGGGAGGTCTTTCTCTGGGTGAAGGGGGCACTTCGAGGGCTCCGTTGGATGAGTATGGCTCGAACCTCTTGGATCCAATGATCGGGGATCGCAAGAGGCCCTTGAAGGAGGTTGTAGGGGGTTTGGAGGAGTCGCCCACACCCAAAAGGCAATTTGTTGAAGAAAAGGAGATGAATGATTCGGTGGAGGAAGCCAGCCGCGAGTGGCCCCAACCGGATAAATGAGGCTTCTGGCCTGGAAGTGAGGGGAATTGGACCACCACTCACATTCCAAACTGCTGTAGGGTTAGTTCGATCGAATAAACCGGATCTTGTTTTCTTCTCGGAGACTCGATCGGGCCGGCGTGTTGTCTCTCGTCGTATTAGGGGTTTGGGGTTTTCTGCTGATCATTGTTTCTTTGTTGATGCAGTTAATGCATCGGGTGGATTAGTTGTTGCTTGGTCCCCCGAAGTTAGCGCTTCGGTGTTTTATCATTCAAATTTTTGTATTGGTGTTCAAATTAATGAAGTCGATTCTCAGTACGTTGTGTTCTGTGTTTACATCAGTTGTCAAGCTAATATTCGCCTAAACCAATTGGCTGAACTTGGTGAGATCTGTGAGGCGGTACATTTGCCTTATGTGGTGCTGGGGACTTCAATGTCACTCTCCATGCCCATGAAAAGGATGGCGGTAACCCGTGGAATGCATCCCAATCCATTGCATTACGGAATTTTGTTCATAACCTTGGAGTCCACGATCCCGGGCACCAAGGTGATCTTTTCACCTGGACAAACAAACGAATGGGGCCTGCCAGTATTAGGGAACGGTTGGATAGAGCTTTATACCTTACATCAGGAATAGTCGGCCTCTATTTAGATTTGATGCCCGTTGGGCTGATAATCCAGAGGTAAAAGCAATGGTGACGTATGTCTGGAGTGAAAATGTCCCCAGTACCCCTATGTACCAGCTATGGGAACGGTTGAAGAAGCTGAGACATCTCCTATATTATTGGAGTAGGGCGGGTACGACTAACTCCCTGCGGAATATTCGCACCCTTCAAGCGGAAATTGAGAGGATAAAAGCTGTATGCCCGATTAATTGGGATGAAATTGGTACCCTTGAGACGGAATTGAGTAGGCAGTGGGAGGCGGAGGAACTGTATTGGCAACAGAAGTCCAGAGTTCGATGGCTGAAAAGAGGTGATAAGAATTCCTCATACTTTCATACAGTCACGCGCACTCGTCGAAAAAGGAATTTTGTGCACGGACTCAGGACGGATATAGGGGAGTGGGTCACGGAGGAGGCGGCTAAAGCTGATATTGCAGGCAGTTTTTACTAGCATTTGTTCACCTCCGAGAATCAGGTTCCAAACATGGCCTCTCGGGTGGAAGCCCTCCCAATCCCAAGAGCGGTGACGCCAGAGATGAATGCTAGCCTAACTGCTCCTGTTTCTCCGGAGGAGGTTCGCCGCACGGTTTTCGCTATGGGGTCCAAACAGGCACCTGGGTCGGATGGGTTTACTGGCAAGTTCTTTAAAGCTTTCTGGAGCATTGTTGGTGATTCGGTGATTGATGCGGTTATTTCCTTCTTCGCAACTAGCAAGATGCTCTGTAGCTTTAATCACACGTGGTTGACGTTGTTTCCTAAAGTGGAGAATGTGGAAACAATGAAACAATTGCGGCCCATCAGCCTTTGTCAGTTTGTTTACAAAATTATTTCGAAGATCATGGCTGCTAGGTTAGCCGTCATTTTACCGGTCATTATCTCGGATGGTCAAAATGCTTTTATTCGTGAGAGGAAAATTGTGGAGAATATCCTCCTGGGGCATGAATTGATGCACTACTTGAAAATCAAAAACCGTTGGAAGAAAGGGTTTATGGCTCTGAAGGTTGACATGGAAAAGGCCTATGACAGATTCGAATGGCCGTTTCTCCTCGCGGTTTTGGATAAAATGGGGTTTCATTCTACCTGGCGAGGATGGATTCAGGAGTGCCTGTGATCAGCCTCTTTTTCAGTTCTCATGAATGGTACCCCTGCTGGGTTATTTGCCCCTTCCCGGGGACTGAGGCAGGGTGATCCGCTCACCCCGCTGCTGTTTTTCATTTGCACAGAGGGGTTTGCAGCTCTCCTTAGTAAGGAAATTTTGGAAAAAAGGTTAGAAGGGGTGAAAGTCGCTCCCCGCGCTCCTCGAATTGCGCATCTGTTCTTTGCTGATGACTCCTATTTGTTCCTGCGGGGATCTCTCCAAGAATGTGAAAACCTGATTGAGGTCTTGAACGAGTATGAGGAGTTAAGTGGCCAAAAAGTGAACCTGGCTAAGTCAGCGGTTTGCTTCAGCAAGAATATTGCGGTGCCAGATCAGGAGTTCTTGGCACAGATTTTAGGAGTTGGGGCAGTGGGGGTGCACGATAAGAATTTAGGGTTGCCAACGTTAATTGCTCGATCCAAAATGGCAACGTTTCGATACCTGGAGGACAAATTGTTGGAGAAGTTGTAGGGATGGAAGCAGCGAACGCTTTCCTGGGCTGCCAAGGAGACATTGATCAAGGCAGTTGCAATGGCATTGCCGTTACATGTGTTGTCCTGTTTTAAGCTCCCTCTGGGCCTTTGTAGGATTCTGGATAATCATGTGGCCCGTTTTTGGTGGGGGGTGAATGAGGGGCAGCCTAAGATCCATTGGATGTCTTGGCGGAATCTCTGTCGAAGTAAGCATGAGGGTGGAATGGGGTTTCGCCGGTTTGAGCAGTTCAATCAGGCTCTCCTTGCAAAAATTGGCTGGCGTATTCTGATGGACCCTCAATCCCTCTTAGCGAAGGTTTATAAAGGGAAATATTTTCCGCAGGGCACGTTCCTTGAGTCCAAAGCTCGTTCGCGCCCCTCGTGGGGTTGGACGAGTATCCTCCATGGGCGTGAGCTCTTGGTAGCTGGCTTGCGATGGCAAATCGGGAATGGCCAGACTACTCCGCTCCTGCATTCAAACTGGATTCCTGGATTACATCCTGAATTTCCTGTTTTTAACCCTCGGGTG